CTAACAAATCCAGTAAAAGGGGACAGTGGCAGAAAGAGTGATTTAATGAAATCAACAATCTCGCTCAAAAGACTACTGAACACTGGATTGAATTGAATTAAGAAAGGTAAAGTTAAAAGCCCTTTATAGGAGCCCGGAAGAAAGCATAAGAGACAAGAAACAGAGCCATTACTGGAGAGTAAGTCGGAGGAAGAAACTCCAACTCAGTCTGAAGAGCAGGCATTTGAGCTCCTCTTGACCAGCGACATAGTGGTGACATTAAAAGACACCCCAGTAGGCGGTGGTTTAAACTTAGAGTTCAGAAAAGCCCAACCGAATCATGGCGGCACAGCGTCGGTGGGACCGAGTGCTAGAAGGATGTCATAATGAAGCAAAAAGTGAAGAAACAATCGGCACAGGAGAAGAAAAAAGTGGGGGCTGCAGCAACAGTAGAAAATCCAGTCTTGATAAGAACAGCGGAGACCACGGAGACACACGTTGTTAGGCAGCCGAGCAGTTCGGGTTCGCCGAGGAAGAACAATCCGAAAAAAACGAGGATTTACAGAGATAGCTGATGAAACACGATTTTCAACACGGTTCGGACATGACCTCAGAAGAATGGGACAAATTAGCAGACCAAGTCCTAATGAGAGGAAGTCAGAAGACAGCTGAGGAAAAATTGAATGCAAAAGAGCATATGTAGGAGGAACATACAACGGGGGGAATCAACTCCCCACAGGATTCTCAGTTGAATCATGTGTAGATTACCCGACTTGACCCAAGGTCCTCCACAGCAAATGATCCAACAGAAACCAGGGTTCGAAAATTTTAGGCAACCCGATAAAAACATTCGGTTAAGGAAATAAGCACTGATCTCTTTGCGGATTTCAATCAACTAGCTCTGGAGGCCTACCGACAAAAGTTGATGAATTTTAAAACAGAAACAGACAAACCAATGGAAACGAGACTAGGACTCCTGGAGAGGCATCTGTTTCGGCGGAAGTTTGGATACGCCGCGCTCAATATATCAAGATCATGGGTTGCAAATTGGAAAGTGCCACTAAATTTGCAACGATAGAACTGAAACTCATTCATGCACCGATTTAAAAAGTGAGTAGAAAAAATCACTTATGCTAGTTCATTCTTGAAATTTTATAATTAGATGAGGAAGTTTTTTTGAGTCTCGGGGGAATGTAGTACTGCGGTTGCAGCAACCTTGAGCTGAAACAAAGTTTAATAATGCAGTTGCAGTCCAGTGTATTATTGGCGCTATGTAATTATGTTATTGATTATTGTTATTTATGTATAGTTAAGGTCAGTGGTGCTGTTTTCAGAATATTACTTTTTGTTCGTTTCAGTTCGCCATACGAAGGTATGGAATTAAGCTGTTTGATCTTAGCTTTTGTAAAAAGCGAACAGACAAACGAAAGATTAACTTTTGAATTCAAACAGTTGAATATCAATGTTTTACCTCTAATAAACGAGTAGCGTCTCTGGGTTACCACAAAATTTTAGTTAATTGTTATGAGTTTAGATGAAATTCAAATTATTGCTTCCATCGACGTCACTTAACGTCCACTAAATTGCCATATTGGCTTTATGTACTAGTGTGTAGAAGCAATTAAATAGGTTTACAATTCACGGCAACCTCAAAATAACTCAAAACTAAACAAAATTACTTCAGGTAACACCATTCTGTCAAAAACGATGTGATCTACCTAACAATCTCCCGCCTTATTCTAGCTGCTAAAAAAAATCTCCACCCCTGTAAATAAAAACAATAAATTCGCACTAGAGCGTTGTATGTAAATTCAAATTTCACTGCATTCTGATTGGTCGAAAACTCGTTGCAAGTAATCTACTTAACAATTTCCACCTTTCTTGAAAGATATTGGGGGGGGGGGTAGATTATTAGTTAGATCCGAACGATGCAACTAATTGAATTCCGAAACACATAAAAAAAGGTTTCTAAATTTTCAATAATTTTTTATTCTTCAATGGCCATTTTGGTATTTGAAAAAATTTGAAAAACTGTCTTTTTTTGGTTGTTCATTGTTTATTTCGATCAATAAAACGAATTAGAGAAAAGTTAGCTGAGATATACACATTTTTGAGTTTTTAGCTACTTGTATCAGTATTTTCACAGCCCCTCCGTTTTTTCCAACTTTTAGTCTGTTTTTTCCTTTTTCTCTCCGGTCAATGCTATTTTTTCAAAGCTATATGTAATGATGATTGCGTATTTTTTTTGTTGCCTGATTTTAGCTACAGTTGCTAATTGATCTCAATCTGTTCAAAGTAGCACACCAGCCTATTAGCAGTTATGTCATTTAGGGTGTCCTACTCTTTAATCCTAAATTATTAAGACCATTTTTACACCGCCTATTTTATAACCCCGTAACAAGATAACAATTTTTTTAACCCCCCTTCAAAACCGGTATTTTGTTTCAAATTAGGTCATTTTTATAAGTATTCCAATTAGGTGAACTAATTGAGGCCTGAAAAGCCAGTCTTAATCCATTTGATGCCTCTAGTATTTCAAAAACAATTGCTTTTGATTAATTAGAGAAACAATCTCTCATTCACGCGTTTAAAACAGAGATTTTGCTAATTGAAAGCAACTCGAGAATTTTAAGAAATTTACACAAAAATCGTACTGCCTTACACTTGAACGAATGTTTTACCATTCTATGAACTAAAATGTTTGAAGGGACCTTCCATCTCACTTTTTACGCCAAAAACAAACAAATGCTAGTAATACCAGAACACGAATGTTATCTTAAACGTAAGAACAAAAACACTACTAACTGGAACTGCTCAAAACACCAGACTCATAAATGCCGAGCAACAGCAACTACGGAGGGCGAAAATTTTAATCAAATGAGGGTGAGCATTATCAGGACATACCTAAGGGAAAAACTGATGCTCGACTAGTTTTTGAAAAAATCAAGGACCTGAGCGAAAGTAATACTCCAACTGTCGCAGTCGCCACAGCAATTCAGCCATAAGAGACGACCTCGCCACTGAATTGGCCCTACCAAAAAAGGAAAATTTTATTCGAACTGCACTACGCATGCGCAAGCAACGAGAACAGGTCTTACCAGTCTCCCCAGCTACAGGAAATTTCGAAATACCCAAGCTATTCAAGAGCTTTGTAAGATTTGACAGTGGACAGTATGATCACAAAAAGATTCATTCTTTCGGCGACCGAGAAATGCTAAGTGTGCTCTAAAATTCAATTTTTTTGGTTGGCTTACGGAACGTTTAAAGTTACTACTGACATGTTTTATCAACTCTACTTTATATATGTTAGCGCCCGCTTGTATTTATGCCTTCTTACCAAATAAAACGGAAAAAAACATACTATCATTTCTTAGAAGCCATAAAAAACTTAACCCCTGACAGTAAACATGAAAAAATTTTGCTGGATTTCGAGCAACAAGTTCCCAGAAGTCCAAGCTATCTGCATGTTTTTTATCTTTCTAAAACTATATGAATGCAACAATTTTTCCAATTAAAGCTTAGATGTTTACCGACGCTATGGTTCCGAATTCTTTTCAAGTAATTTTCGCTTTGATTCTAACAATTGGCATTAAAAAGGGGTTAATTTTTAGTGGGGTTGTCTAATTCTGGGTTTATATGAGAGGGGGTTAAGAAAACGGGGGTTAAAAAAGGCGGGGTGATAAGCTTGAGAACCGTCAATCAGCATACCCATGCGGAAGAATGCAGCTTTTTTTCCTACTATTTCTTCTTCAATTTTGTTCACAAAGCTAATACACCGCAATTTTTGGACTTTTAGATAAGCGACAACGATTTCTTTAGTTCTCGAACAATTCGAATGTTATTTAATTTTATATGAAATTTTATGCTATTATCCATCAAATGAAAGAGCTATTTTTTCTAAGGAATGAGCGTCTTAGAAGAGCAATTAGTGCATGCTAATTGGCGCACATGCTAATTGCTAAGACCCCTATAAATATAGCGGGAAACACATAAGTAAATTATTAAGTTTTACCCAGAAGAGAGTTAAACATAAATAATTAGGCAAAGAAACTACTTGAGCGGTCAAACTCACAGAGGGTCAAGCAAAAATCTATACATTTTATTTAAGCTTCACCCTAAAAACTTAACACAGAAGTTGCGGAAAAATATTGGATTTGTTTCTATGTGAAAAAAAAATCTATTACAATGGTCTTTTTCAAAAAAAAATACGGAATACGTGTTTTTGTAATTTTGCTTGAGCTGTTTCACTAAACTGTTTCAAAGTATGGTATCAAATTGTTTGATTGCAAACGTTTAGCTTTTAAGAGTAGTATTTTGTCATGACCGATGCATGATTTGAGTTCTTGTTTTCAAGTTTTGGCTTTTATACCTCCGCTGCAAAGTTGTGGCCATGAAATTAAATAAAAAAGTTCAAAAAAACCCAAGAAAACAGTTTTTTGTTGGTTTAACAGGCTTAAACTAGCAAGACTGTTATCGTGGGTATATTCATCAGCCGCATTTCGATAGACTTTCAAGGAGAACTTTTTCTGGATTAACTTATAATGCATCGGCTCAAAAAAAATTTGGGGCGGCCAAAAAAATCAATCAGCCAGGTTCTGATTTCAAGCTATTAAAATTTTAAACTTTTTTTGTTAGCTGCTCAAAGAAGCTGAGAATATAAAACCGTATAAAACTTTCCAATCTGAAAGAACCACTTTCAGTCCATATGAGTTTTACAATGTGTTGTTTATTAAAACGTTTTAGCTCTAAGCACGCCTTTTTGATGGGTTACTACAGTTTTTGATTATGCACTTAAACTTTGATAATGCACATGCATTCGGACACAAAAGAAAAACATTCTTTAAGAAAGCTTCATTTATTTAATTCCCAAATTGAAATTGATCATATGTAAATACTTCAGTGTTGGGGCGATATTAATTTATTCACAGTTCAAAAATATTTAGCATTTTTGAATCTTATGTAATCCTAACTAATGACATCTCACCCAAAATAATAAATAATAACTGTACTTTATGATTCAGGTCATGGCCATGCACACACTTTACAACTACTCCTATTGGAACTCTCTAATGAAGCACCCTTTCCACCTGGTCGGCCTTGTTAGGGAACCACTGGCTCAATTCAAATCCTACTTCAGCTATTTTGGCTACAACCAAAGAGTTTCCTCCGTTTACTCAAACTTCACTACCCAGAAAGGATCTCTGGATTTTTTCCTGGAAAATTACAGTGACATCATGATGCCTAACAACTGGCAAAAAGTGGTCAGTAAATTCAAATAGCACCTTAGTCAAAAAAAGGTTTGAACTTTTTGAAAATCCGCTACTTCCCCCCTCAACAAAATCCCAGATCTGCCCCTGACCCTATAGATCATAGATCAATATTAAGTTCTATTGCAAGCAGTTCGAAAAACGTAGCTTTTATGGGTTAAATACTTTAAAATAACTTGGGCTGATTATTTAAATCTCAAGGGTTTCCCACTGGGAACTGACAATACTAAACTTTGATTCCAGCTGCGCGACACCTAAAACCATGCACTATTCTTTTCAGGGAAAAATTGAATGCCTTTTTAAATGAAATAACTATTTTTTTTTCTTTTTTTAAAATTTTTTATTATATTTCAAGCTACTGAATTCTCATCGCAACCAAGAAATTGAGGAAGGCGAAGGTTTAAATCTGCGATCAAATAAAAAATTGTTTCATGCAAAGGTAGATACTGTAGAAAAAACTAGGGCTACATTTGTTGTGTCGATAAAAGAAATCTCACCAACGATAAGTAATTTTGATTGCAAAATCGTTCACTCATTTTTTTGGCACTTTATACACCGACAACTATTTGAGCTGAGTTTTGTAAAATCAGAAATTATCGCAAAGTTACCTTTTTCATCTTGTCATCCGGCCGAATTGGCATTAATTAAAGGCATCAGCAGAAAAACCTATAAATTGTACTGCAGATAAACTGACCTTGAGCAACAGAGTCAGTCCGTAAACTGAGAGCATTGATCGCTCAGAGCAACCTTTGAGAGATTATGTTTCAGTTATCTTTTTTTCTTTTTTGATTTACCAAGGTAGTTGCCAATCCGTACGGATTCATTAGTTACTCATACAAGAGGGTATGACATTGAGCAGTCAGCAGGGTGTAAAAAACCTACTATACCCAGAGTTTCCCACAATTTTGACAGAAGATATCAGCAGAATCACAACTTGAGTGGTCCAAATGCGCCGCCATGACGGAATCGACCGTCCTGGCCAAAGATGGGATAGAAAACCGTAATCTACTCCGAACTCAACCACCAGTCATCGATCAAACAGAACCAATATGAGAACTTAAAATAAAGGCAAAATAGAAGCCAAAAACGGAGAAATGACATACGCAACGAGGAGAATAAGGTCATTTGGGAAAATTGCTCTGCAATAATCAAATAAATAGTAGCATTATGCGGCAATTTCCAATGGAATGAAGCAGATGCCGAGGTGAGAAGTTATATATTCTTATGTTTAGGAGCGGTTGGCCAAGGTCAACTACAGCAAAAACGTCCGGGACTTGATCTACAATCGACAACCACTGGGGATTTGTTGCAAATACTCGAAGACAATTTCATTACAACGACAAATTAGCTTTCAAGTGATAAACTTTCATCTGGCGTAAGCAGCGGAAGAACGAATCGTTGGAACGCCGACCTAATAGAACAGGCATCAGGCATCACGCGCAGACTGCGGAAACAGAGAAGATGAAGGAGTTCGAAACACGTTCACGGCCCGTATGACAAACAAAAACATCGCTGAAGAACTATTAGCAGAAACAAGATCACCTCAAGACGCATACAAATGTGCGATTAGAAGAGAAAGACGAATACAGAATAGCGAATTAATGAAAACAAATCCATTCGGATCATCACAAACTTCGTCTACGATCAAACAGGAAACTATGGGATACATACAAGGAAGCGTCAGAGGAAGAAGAAACGGATACCAAAACAACAGAAATCGGGGTTTCGGAAGAGGCCGACAACAAATGCTAAAGGGAAGTTCCGATGAAGAGGTACACAAAACCAACAGGGAAACCAAAACAATACATGTGACAAGTGTGGCAGACAGTTTGGACCCAATCATCTACAATCGAGACCAGCTTAAGACAAAATTCGCCTGAAGTATGCAAAAAGAGGACATTTCGCAAAAATTTACAGACTGAGGAATGTAAACTATATGCAAGAATCAAGCAGAAAACAACGAGAAGTGGACCTCAACAAACGGATGGGAAGAAAAACCACGTGACGATTTTACCGTATTGGCCATCTCAGAAGCTTTTAAAATAAAAAACTCGATCGACTTACGCAAAGAGGATCTAAATGGACACCTTGTAGAACTGAAAAATCAGAAACTTTTTCGCAATTGCAGTTTCAGGAAACCCAATGTCTTTTTTAAATGAGAAAACAGCAAAAAGACTACAAACAAAAGACAAATTGGCAAGATTGAAATTTATCCCACCGAAAGATGCCGCAAAAAATTTGACATGCAACAATGGAAAATGCATCATCCCGCAAGGCAGATTAATAGTAGCGGTAGGATCAGGAAGGCGGACCACACAGTCCAACCCATTCATAACGGTAGACAACCAAAAAAGCAAACATCATCGGGCGAAACATTCTTGCATAAATTGGCATCACATTAGTCCAGGAAAAAAACCAAATATACAATATACAAAAAATTGAAAATCCAGACCACAAAATAAAGCAATGGGTCGAAAAAACAGTTATCTGCAAGAATTGGGAACTCAAAAAATTACGTAATGAAAACGCAGTTCATCAAAGATATCAACCCAAGACAACAAAATGAAGAAGAAATACTACTACATCTCCAAAAACCTGTAGAGAGAGAATTGAACAAACTGGTAGATCAATAACACAACATCAAAATCGACAAAAATTCGAACCAGCAGTTTCTTAGTCCAATCGTAGCAGTAGAAGATTTAAAAAAATCTTTCACAAAAACAAATAACAATTTCCCATTATTGAGTTACTATTCGACACTTTTGCACAATCAATTAAGAGGAAGGAAAAACAACCGACACTACTTTCAACAGTCGATCTTTGATATGCATAATCACAAATCACGTTGGATTTAGAAAATATGAAAAAAGAACACGAGAAAATGATACAAAAAAAACAGTGCAACTTTAGTCTCATAGGAGGCAATGCAACTGGAACATACCAACTCCAAATGCGATTTTCTAGCATCACCTACATGCCAGCTGAAACAAAAAAGGCAGAAAATCTCACCCTGAAAAACTGTGAAAACACTTTCGCATACTTAGACGACGTACTAACTGTAACAGAAGGGTCTAAAGATACAGACAGAAAACCTAAGAGAAGAATGTTCAGCAAATCATGAAAGTTTAGCATTACCCAAAAAACTCAAATTCGCGTGTGATCAAGTCGCATGGCTCGGCTATCACATCACTAGCGAAGGTTTCGAGCACCTGAATTGAAAATCAGACGCTATACAAAAACTCAGACCATTAAAAACATTCAAACAACTAAAACTAAAACATTCGATCACGATCACGGTAGACCTATCTCAACAACATATGGAGAAAACAACCCCAAACGAGGCGCCACCAACAATGACAAGCCAAACTCACCAAGAAAAAGTCAGTTATGAGATGATAGTGGCGAGAGTGATTGGTACAGTGGACCAAGAAACAGCTAAGGAATCAGAGGAAGACACACCATTATACCGAAGAAACCTCCAAAAGGTCATGGCAATCGTCTTCAATGCGGCAGCAATGAACAAAAGTCGGAACAATTACTTTCGCATCGAAAGTCGGAACAACAACAGATAATATTCACAATTTACCAGCAGTGTAGAGTTGAATTGGATTTAGAGACCCTTGTGGTCTGCGATACCTCTACATTCGGATTAGGTGCCACCCTTGAACAACTAACAGATACAAGTTTGGTGGCAATAGCGTACGCGGTGGAAATACAGATTTTTAAACTCAATAGAAGAAAATTACTCTGTAAGTGAGTTAGAATTGTTGGGGATCGTATGGGCAATAGAAAACTTTAAATATTATTTGTACGAGAAAAAGTGTTAATTTAATCACAAACCATCAACCTTTAATCAGCGTAAAAAACCCCAGTGAAGGATCAAAAACCAGTCGAAGTAGATTTACTAGATGCATTGATCGCTTGATCTAATTTAACTTTGACAAAAAACACTTGGCCGAAACAATAATTGGACTAAAACACTACATGTCTCGTGTTCCCGTAGAATTTGATTTATTCCGCCATGAGTACGACGAGGAATATGTGAAAGCGTCAATTAACTTATTCATTGCAATTCTTATATTTATTGACAAATTCATTTTAACTCAACTAACCAATCAGAACCAAGCACCGAATCGGCTGATCAAAACTCGCGCGGAAAATGAAAGTTATCTAACTAATCAATTGAAACCGCAAGCGCATTTCAAACGTTCTAAACACACAGATCACGCTCAGAAAACAATGAATAAAAAGATCATTAGTGCAAACTTACGTCCAGAAATAAGCTGTCAACAGGAAAAACGACACATCAAGCAATAAAATCTATTGATTTCACAAAAGCAAATATGACCCGAAGATTTGAAAACAAAAGATTTAAAGGATACTTCATCCCAGATTCGGCGCGACTAAGAGGCAGCGGAAAACAAAAGCAGTCAGAGACCCGACGAGGAAGACAACCAGAATTATTTTTGAGAGGAGAATCCGATAGAGAAGAAAGACTATCAGATCCAAGATCGCAACGACGTACATCAACAACGACATAAGAATGCTGGACATCGTCATCGCAAAAAATTTCGACGAGCCCAGTAAAAATCAAGGATGCACGTGGAACAATCAAGATGGACGAGAACACCAGAAATTAACCGACCAGAAACTTCTCAGAAAGCCTGACCGGCTCAGCCAAGGACATAGACGAATAATTTGCGTTAACCAACACACAAATTACACTACCCAATACGTCCTCCGGCCCAGGAACAACAACCTCTACCTCTCTATTGACCCAAATGACAACACAACTAAAGGAGTCGGAAACTCAGACAACCACGATCACGATCACGGTAGACCTATCTCAACAACATATGGAGAAAACAACCCCAAACGAGGCGCCACCAACAATGACAAGCCAAACTCACCAAGAAAAAGTCAGTTATGAGATGATAGTGGCGAGAGTGATTGGTACAGTGGACCAAGAAACAGCTAAGGAATCAGAGGAAGACACACCATTATACCGAAGAAACCTCCAAAAGGTCATGGCAATCGTCTTCAATGCGGCAGCAATGAACAAAAGTCGGAACAATTACTTTCGCATCGAAAGTCGGAACAACAACAGATAATATTCACAATTTACCAGCAGTGTAGAGTTGAATTGGATTTAGAGACCCTTGTGGTCTGCGATACCTCTACATTCGGATTAGGTGCCACCCTTGAACAACTAACAGATACAAGTTTGGTGGCAATAGCGTACGCGGTGGAAATACAGATTTTTAAACTCAATAGAAGAAAATTACTCTGTAAGTGAGTTAGAATTGTTGGGGATCGTATGGGCAATAGAAAACTTTAAATATTATTTGTACGAGAAAAAGTGTTAATTTAATCACAAACCATCAACCTTTAATCAGCGTAAAAAACCCCAGTGAAGGATCAAAAACCAGTCGAAGTAGATTTACTAGATGCATTGATCGTTTGATCTAATTTAACTTTGACAAAAAACACTTGGCCGAAACAATAATTGGACTAAAACACTACATGTCTCGTGTTCCCGTAGAATTTGATTTATTCCGCCATGAGTACGACGAGGAATATGTGAAAGCGTCAATTAACTTATTCATTGCAAATCTTGAATTTATTGACAAATTCATTTTAACTCAACTAACCAATCAGAACCAAGCTCCGAATCGGCTGATCAAAACTCGCGCGGAAAATGAAAGTTATCTAACTAATCAATTGAAACCGCAAGCGCATTTCAAACGTTCTAAACACACAGATCACGCTCAGAAAACAATGAATAAAAAGATCATTAGTGCAAACTTACGTCCAGAAATAAGCTGTCAACAGGAAAAACGACACATCAAGCAATAAAATCTATTGATTTCACAAAAGCAAATATGACCCGAAGACTTGAAAACAAAAGATTTAAAGGATACTTCATCCCAGATTCGGCGCGACTAAGAGGCAGCGGAAAACAAAAGCAGTCAGAGACCCGACGAGGAAGACAACCAGAATTATTTTTGAGAGGAGAATCCGATAGAGAAGAAAGACTATCAGATCCAAGATCGCAACGACGTACATCAACAACGACATAAGAATGCTGGACATCGTCATCGCAAAAAATTTCGACGAGCCCAGTAAAAATCAAGGATGCACGTGGAACAATCAAGATGGACGAGAACACCAGAAATTAACCGACCAGAAACTTCTCAGAAAGCCTGACCGGCTCAGCCAAGGACATAGACGAAAAAATTTGCGTTAACCAACACACAAATTACACTACCCAATACGTCCTCCGGCCCAGGAACAACAACCTCTACCTCTCTATTGACCCAAATGACAACACAACTAAAGGAGTCGGAAACTCAGACAACCACGATCACGATCACGGTAGACCTATCTCAACAACATATGGAGAAAACAACCCCAAACGAGGCGCCAACAACAATGACAAGACAAACTCACCAAGAAAAAGTCAGTTATGAGATGATAGTGGCGAGAGTGATTGGTACAGTTGACCAAGAAACAGCTAAGGAATCAGAGGAAGACACACCATTATACCGAAGAAACCTCCAAAAGGTCATGGCAATCGTCTTCAATGCGGCAGCAATGAACAAAAGTCGGAACAATTACTTTCGCATCGAAAGTCGGAACAACAACAGATAATATTCACAATTTACCAGCAGTGTAGAGTTGAATTGGATTTAGAGACCCTTGTGGTCTGCGATACCTCTACATTCGGATTAGGTGCCACCCTTGAACAACTAACAGATACAAGTTTGGTGGCAATAGCGTACGCGGTGGAAATACAGATTTTTAAACTCAATAGAAGAAAATTACTCTGTAAGTGAGTTAGAATTGTTGGGGATCGTATGGGCAATAGAAAACTTTAAATATTATTTGTACGAGAAAAAGTGTTAATGAAATCACAAACCATCAACCTTTAATCAGCGTAAAAAACCCCAGTGAAGGATCAAAAACCAGTCGAAGTAGATTTACTAGATGCATTGATCGTTTGATCTAATTTAACTTTGACAAAAAACACTTGGCCGAAACAATAATTGGACTAAAACACTACATGTCTCGTGTTCCCGTAGAATTTGATTTATTCCGCCATGAGTACGACGAGGAATATGTGAAAGCGTCAATTAACTTATTCATTGCAAATCTTGAATTTATTGACAAATTCATTTTAACTCAACTAACCAATCAGAACCAAGCTCCGAATCGGCTGATCAAAACTCGCGCGGAAAATGAAAGTTATCTAACTAATCAATTGAAACCGCAAGCGCATTTCAAACGTTCTAAACACACAGATCACGCTCAGAAAACAATGAATAAAAAGATCATTAGTGCAAACTTACGTCCAGAAATAAGCTGTCAACAGGAAAAACGACACATCAAGCAATAAAATCTATTGATTTCACAAAAGCAAATATGACCCGAAGATTTGAAAACAAAAGATTTAAAGGATACTTCATCACAGATTCGGCGCGACTAAGAGGCAGCGGAAAACAAAAGCAGTCAGAGACCCGACGAGGAAGACAACCAGAATTATTTTTGAGAGGAGAATCCGATAGAGAAGAAAGACTATCAGATCCAAGATCGCAACGACGTACATCAACAACGACATAAGAATGCTGGACATCGTCATCGCAAAAAATTTCGACGAGCCCAGTAAAAATCAAGGATGCACGTGGAACAATCAAAATGGACGAGAACACCAGAAATTAACCGACCAGAAACTTCTCAGAAAGCCTGACCGGCTCAGCCAAGGACATACACGAAAAAATTTGCGTTAACCAACACACAAATTACACTACCCAATACGTCCTCCGGCCCAGGAACAACAACCTCTACCTCTCTATTGACCCAAATGACAACACAACAAAAGGAGTCGGAAACTCAGACAACCACGATCACGATCACGGTAGACCTATCTCAACAACATATGGAGAAAACAACCCCAAACGAGGCGCCACCAACAATGACAAGCCAAACTCACCAAGAAAAAGTGAGTTATGAGATGATAGTGGCGAGAGTGATTGGTACAGTGGACCAAGAAACAGCTAAGGAATCAGAGGAAGACACACCATTATACCGAAGAAACCTCCAAAAGGTCATGGCAATCGTCTTCAATGCGGCAGCAATGAACAAAAGTCGGAACAATTACTTTCGCATCGAAAGTCGGAACAACAACAGATAATATTCACAATTTACCAGCAGTGTAGAGTTGAACATACATAGTTATTGGACAAAGACAACAAGACTGCTCGTATCAGGGCAAAGCCCTGAATGTTCCGACTGCCTTTTAAGGATTATGGAGTAGTAATAACATTAAAAAATTAAATGTAAGAAAAAATAAAATGAAAAATTTTTTTTTCTAAAGTTTGGATTTTTTTTGAAAATCATCCCCCCACACGCCATACAAAGTACAAAAGGATAGATTTTGCTCATTGTAACAAACCAATTAGGGCAAATAAGCTTCTTTTAACCAATTTGGAACGATTTCTAAGAGACGGATTAACTCTCCGCTTACGCGTTAATAGCACGAAATATATCGCGCGTTAATTGTCCCAAATTGGCCAAAATGGCAATCTTTAAACCCCCATAACTTTACGAAAAATAATCACGGGTGAAATATCTTTTCAAATTTGAGCTCAGGAAAATAATACCTTTCGAATGATATTAAGAAATTCCGTCAAAAATGGCTAGTTAAAAAGTCGAAATTTGTCTGAAGAAAAAAAAACCCACCCCGAGCACAAATATTCCGTTACTTTCGTATCGAAAGTCGGAACAATAAATTTAAAAGAACCTAAATGATTTCCATGATGTTTTTCCGTACGACATTTGGCTTGGGTCTTTCTTAAATTGGTTCAGAACATTGAGTTTCTTTTTTTTTACGTAGAATAAATTACAGTTGTAATTGTTCATGTAAAAAATCAAAAGCACAGCAAATTCTATTTTAAACAAATGGAACACTTTTATTCAAAGGCGGATTGGGGGAGGGGGGTCGCATCTTGCCATGTTTTAATTTCTTACCTTAGTATGCCCCCTTCAGCTCATACTTGATCAAGGATAATTGTTTCAGCGAAGTCATATAAACAACTTACGAAACACAATGATGTTTGACTATGGCGGAAGCAGTTTAACCTCAGAATCAGCAGCTGAAAAGTACATTGGCGAATTAATGAACAACTTCACCGTCATGATAGTTGCCGAAAAGTTCGACGAAAGTCTAGTTGTGATGAAGAATAAACTATGTTGGGATTGGTCAGATATTGTTTATGTTAAGGCTAACGTCGGTAATTACAATTACGGAGAAAACACAACTTTGGAAAATAAGCGTAGAGTTTTACACCAACAGTTTTCGCCATTTGATTACATTCTCTACAACAAATCAGTAACCAAGTTACAAAACGACATTGAAAAGGTAGAAAATTTTGATCAACAACTTCAGGAGTTTCGAAGAGTGAATAAACACGTGGTAAGTTGGTGTGAACAAAAAAACCTGACGAACACTTCCTCGTTTTCGATGCAAACTCTGTTCACAAATGGAGGCGAGACATTTTATGACTACATGGGATGCAAAAGGTTGAAGCAATACATAATATATTATATAGACGAAATGAATGAATCTAGAAGGAGAGGAATTCACTGATAGTTAAACCAAGCAGATGTCATAAATTTATCATATAGGAAGACGTATTAGTTGTTTTTGGATAATTAAAAAGTATTGTTGCTAAACTTCATATAAGAAATATCTGAAAAAAATTTTGAAAAAAAATGTTTCCCGGACCATTCATGCTTCTAGGCATGAGATGAAGCATCCATTATTTTTTCGGACATAATTGAATTATCAGTTTTTTTTTGAAATTTTAAAATTACCCTTACACAGAGAAAAAATATATATAAAACGGTTTTCAAACAGAATAAATTTTAAACTTGAAACGGTTGATAATATGATCGCCCAAGGACGAACCTAGGAGTTTTTATAGGTGGGTAGCATTATAGCGTCAAGCTCGGTCTTTAAACTATTTGTGCTTTCACGCGTCAGAATATCAGTATTTCGTGCTATTAACGCGTAAGCGGAGATTTATTCCGTCTTCAAAATCGTTCCAAACTGAATTGAGGCATGTTATTTGTTTGATTCAATACTTTGCTAAATACGAAAGTTATCACTTCGTACTTTACATCGCGTGTGGTGGGATGATTTTTAAAAACAACCTTTTTTTAGTTTGATTTTTTTTGGAAATTGCATTCATTTTTTGAAAGCGAAGTCTTATTCTCTAGACCTTAAAGTGCAGCCGGAACATTAAGTGCTCCGCTCTAATACGAGCAGTTTTGTTATTTTTGTTTTAAAGTGGTTTTGATTTTTTTTTTGAAAACTGGTCAAATTATAGCTCGCCTTTCTCGACTTTCTATTGCCATGCTCTTTTATAACTGTTTTCAAAAAAGTGGTCGACATTTTCAGAAAATATTCATCAATCAGTTTATTGATTTAATTTATACGTATCATTACGAGGCCAAGCTGTGCACTGGCCAGTTTTTTACCTGCATACAGACCATTTTTGTGTCTGTATGTTCCTGGATTCCATAGACAAATTTTTCAACATGTTCCAAAATGCAGGTGGATTTCACTTACAAAGCTTCCGTGGATTCCACGTACAAACACCTGTCGTATATATACATTTCAAAAAATGATTAGTTGAGTTTGTTGATTTTGTTTATTGGCGCCATTGGTGCTGTCTGCGATCCTGGATTGATTTAATTAAGTACCTGCCAGTTTGATGTTGAGAATGTGTGTGATCTGAAACAGTTGAAGTGATATTGATTTAAGCTAGCAGTTGGACTATTTTTTACTCTGAATTAAAAGTATTGATTGACGTTTTTCTCATACCTGTAACGCAAATTTTGTCTGCACATTTGCTGTGTCGACAATTCCACAACATGCAAATATAGCTAGCTGTTCTGGATTCCGCAACTATAAGTGGATTCCATAAAATGTACGTGGAATCGGAAAATGTAAATGGAATCCAAAAAATTTGTAGGCGGAATCCACAAACGTAAGCGGATTCCGAAAATTGTAAGTGGATTCCGATTTGTATTTATTACTGAACTTGCATATGAACAACCAAAAGCTAGAGCTGGAATTCATATCTTTAGCAATGCGGAAATTCAAAGCAATTACCTAATCATTATCAGCTGAATCCATGAACAAATCTAAAAACACTGGTTAACTAAACCGGCGAATGTCACTTTTTAGTGTTTTGGAAACACAACACCGACTAAATTCAATATTCGCGTCATTGGGTTGGGAGTGTTTGGAAACACAACGCACAGCATATTGCCGAATTATGTCAGTATTTGGGATTGCATCAATCGCAAATACTGGTTTAGGAAACACAACACCGAATAAATTGTGTTCTGAAAACACAACGCGCAGCATATTGCCGAATTAGGTCATTATTTGGGATTGCATCACCACAAATACCAATCTGGTAGATTCCAATTCTACTGAGTTCAAGAGAGCAGTATTTAAGACGAGTCGAAAGTGAAATCAAATCATGGGGGCGTTTTGTTTATAAATGATGCTACAATTTTCTGATTAGCTAACTCATGATTAATGAACGATTTTAGAGCTCTAACTGTCTTAAACTTTCTCTAAACTTTCTGGCGACCACCCAAAATAATATAACTTCAAATGCTATTCTACATATACACATATATGAGAACCGAATCCGCAAACAAAATGCGGATTCCACTTACAATTTGCGGATTCCGCAACAGCTCAATTTAACTATACATGTGCCTTACTATTTCTTTAAGGATTCCACAAACTGTTCTGGATTCCGCAAATACGGTTGGGGATTCCGTAAATTCGCCTACTTTTGGAGCAATTTTGAGCGTTACAGAGTTTTAGGCTTTTTTTGTGGAATCCAAAACAGCAAAGAATATGAAAGAAAAGTAACAATGTTGTGGATTCCGCGACAAATCTAATTTTGGCTTGTTGCGGATTCTGCTAACAATGCACAAAATGCACAGTTTGGCGTCGTCATGATTGAATCAGAAATAATTTGTTCTTTAAAAATTTAGGTCTTCTTAGTTATTCGGCTCAATTTTGACCTTTTCATTTTTTTTTGAAAACGTTATATCAATAATAAAATTTGATGCAGTTGAAATTAATTTCAGAACAAGGGTTTTGTTAAAAACAGGCCTAAAAGAATAAATTTAGTATTTGGGCTGTAAAAGAATATCCAAAAATTTCGATTTCTGGTTCTTCTTCAATAGAGTTCATCGCCGCTTGTGACACACACAGTATCAGTGGAGAATTCCAAAGTCGAGTCAAACCAAACTGACTTTCGCCGACTGCTGGCTCTAGCCGAACCTTCAGATAACTGACTCGAGAGATTCGAATGACCTTGCGAAACCGAATGATTGAAACTCGGTTTTGATTCTATTCTAATTAGAGTGGTATCTTTGGAATCCGACACTGTCGAATCAGATTCAAATAATACAGATATGACCGATTCGGTCTCGTCAGATTCGCTTGTCGTTGCACAACTAGTTTGAACCGTGGAGCCGATTGAATAAATTTCCGATTGACTTGAACTTGATGGGTCACTCGAGATGATTGACTGCTTGTTCCGAATTGTTTCAGTTCGCTTTGTAAAATTTTCCGACAATACTTTCGTGTCCTTCGTTCGATTGTTCTTACCCTTTCTTGTTTTAATTTTTTGGCGGTTGTACCCTTTAAATTTAGAATCTAAGAGTGATTTTTCATCTTCCATTTCAATTAAAACGACTGTCGGGTAGCTTTGAAACTGACTGGACCTTGATCCACAAGTTTGAATTTTTGGCTCTGTTTGCTGTTTTGAGTTTTCAACTCATCCCATAACTTTTCGTCTATTTTCTTTGATATTCCCTCTAACAAATCCACAATGTGTTCAGCTTGTCCACTACCTAAAAATTTTTGTAAATCAATTTTTAATCTCGAAAAACTTTATGCAAAACGGTGCATTTTCTTGCAAAAAAAACATCAATTCTGCGGATTAGTATAAGCCTTATATAAAAATTCAGACTACTTTCACGACTAAAAGAGCATGTTTCATGTGGTGATCTTGCCATTTTATCAAGTCAAGCCAGGGAGTTTTTTCTGATCTTCTTGAAAGGGTAAAGCTGTTAAAAATTTCCTTGTGCCTTTTGTCCACCTAAACTAATTTGTCCTAAAAATAGACAAAGCTGGTGCTAGGTAAATACGACACCAAGACATTAAGACGACAACTGACAGTTCATACACGTGAATTGAACTGCTTGAATTTAAGCGAATTATATTTCTCAGAATTAAAATATGGAGAATTGCGTGTAGCTTCGTCTTAAAAACCTGTCAAAAGCAGTTGTCGTCTTAACAGCTGTCGTCTTAGTTGATGAACACCAGCAAAGCTGTAAACAAAAGCCACGCACGGGAATATAGAGCAATAAAATGACAAAAAAAAATAAAAAAAAAGCCAGAAAAAGAAAACAGACTTTTTTTATCAAGGAAAAGGAGTGAATCTCCGACTAACATGTAAATCGTATCGAATACTTTTGGCAACCAAATTGAATAACTACAAGTTTTAAACACTTTTTTTGCCCCAAAAGTCAATAAAAAACAGTGTTAAATTTTGAGTCGGTAGAGCAGAATGAACAAAAATTCTGATAGCTTAAAAATAACTTTAACTCGTACTCAAACAATTAACGTTTCAACACCGCTAAATGCGTATATTCATTGTGTATGAATACATTTCATTCTTAGAATAAAACAGAACTTTTGGGTCACACATAACAGCTTTTGGGTCATACATTAGCGGCTGCAGGATTTAATATGGAATTTTTCACAGAGCTAATGATCACGACAAACACTTCAAAGCGGGGCAATTTTTTAGAGCAAGATACAAAAATACAGCAAAGAAACAGTTGCTGGATTTAGTTTTTAAGCAACTTTCGAGAAGTGTTCCAAATGAACCTGCTGCAAATTGCTACTTGAGAAAAACGGTTGGTCGGCCATTCGTAACAAGCGACTATTATTAACAAGCGACTATTAGTATCAAGCGACAACTCGTATCAATGTTTTTTGATGTTTAAAAACTAAAAGAATTAACCGAAAGCTTAATTAACATAAGAGGACTTAAAAAAAATAGAAATCAAAGTTAAAAGGTAGTCCCTGTAGTATATAGCGTCTAGTTTATTTAGGAGAGTAATATTATACAGACAGGTAAACAAAAAACCGCATGTACAAATCAAACCCACCAAGGATCATGCAAAAAGCTATGCAGCTTATCGAGGCATGACCCTGAAAAAACCTATGATAGAAGTTGCGAGATAGTATCCGATTTGATTATTCAAAAAAATAAATCTAGAAAATCTCCATTATCTTTAAGAAACAATGAAAACAGTTTTTTGAAATACCCATTTAGTTGATGCTTAGTTAATTGGTTTAGGTTATCCTGTATCAGCTTCAGCTCGTTTGATTTCAAAAAATTATAACATTTAACAGACACATTTTTCCATGAACGTTGCATTATTTGTGTTCTAGTTTTCATGCTTGGTAAAGTTTTTGCCACAGAGGCCCGAGTAACCCGAAGATTATTCAAAGATTCCAAATTAAAAGTTTCGAGGGGAGTTTTACCACGAAGCTGATTAAAAGTTTCTTCGAATAT